TTGGAAAGATGAAAGGAACTCGTGTAACATCTCACTTCAAAGGGCAGCTCCACTCTTGAGGAGTGTTTAAAAAAAAGAAAAAAGAAAAGAAAAGCAGCTTATTCAAGAAATATGCTTTCTCTGTGGATTTGGTTTTGCTTTTACCTGCTTTAGAAACTCAGAAATGACTTCTGCTCATTTGACCTAAATGGAGTTATTACCCCGGTGTAAAGGAGAGTGGAAGCTGGCTGACAGTGACGTTACCCCCCCGGGGTCCTTCATTGCACTTTGCATTGACTCAGCAATGCTCTCAAATGAGCGGGACGATTTTTGGCCTTGTGATGAGATCTTTATCAAAGTTTCAATGCTCTGGGCTGTGTTTGGGACAGAAATTGCACATGTGCAGTGGCTCTGTGTCTGGATTTACTTTGTCTGGGCAAATGAATTGAAAAAAACCAGCTGAATCACTCATCTACTTGCTAAGCAAGTCAGCCTTCCCAGGATCCAGAGGCAGGTGCTCCCACCCAAAATACCTAAAAGCCGTGCCTTGTATACTTTCAATATACAGAATAGCTTACGTTAGGCAAGATATTTCACCACCTCAGCATTGGCTGATTGGTCTTGAGGGCCCTTTTGGACTCCTGACTTAAGTCAGTTCTGTCCAACTCCAGGGTAAGATTTTTGTCTTCCACTAGATTTTACTCATAAGTCCTCTCTTTAAACACGAGTTGTTTGCTTAGCCCCTAAGCACTTTATTTCCAATCGTATCTGTCCAGGCCATGACTCTTGTCATTATATTCCATGTAAGGGTGACCTGGCTAAGGAGAGGATGAATTCGAACTGCCCAAGATGTCACAGTTTGTTTCAGTTGCCCTGAAGTGTGGGATAGTGTGGGCTTTAGAAGTGACATTTGTATGCAGAACCAATTCAACAAGGATTCAGAGAAATACTAGCCTATCTCCCTCCCTAGGAAGATCCTAAAGGTGGGACCTCTCTCTGTAAGCAATAGTTTTCTCTCATGACTCAAAGGAAAAATTGCTGCTTCTAGAAACAGAGGTCTTGTGTGACTTGGAAAAGAAGAGCAACTCATCAGCTTCATAAACCCTTGATAGATTTAGGCAGGCTGCTCTGTTTTTTGTTATGCCATGAGCTGTTTAACCAGTTTTCCAGGTAGCAGGTTGATGTGAAATGCTATCAGCTTTTCACAAACACTATCAGCTAAGCAATTGAGCTCATCCCAGATGTGATTAAGTGGGATCAATTATAATAAGAACTAGATAAGAGAGATAAGCTTGTTGTTTCTTGTGTTGGTATTCTGCAGTATTAGGCTTTCTAAGTAACCTTTATACATCATCAGCTGCAAAACCTTTATTACTTCAGGAAATGGCTTCTAGACCAGCATTCAAATGAACTTCATCCTAAACTGATTATTCTAACACTGGAACTGCCATTGAGTGGGGAAACAATTTATTTGAAGCATCAATTGCATCAAACAGAAAAGGAGCCATTGAAGTCAATGATGTTCTGCAATGTAAGGAGCATGTTTGCTCTCAATCCTAAATACAGCCAAATATTCTGGAAGAGAGCTCTCTGTGTCCCAAGAGGGGAATAGCTACCCTTCATAGCATCATGTTTTGCCGTGGTACTAAGTAAAATTGCTATAGCACTTAAGGCTTAATTTACTAAATATCAGAATTTATAGATTTGCTAAATATCAGAATTTATAGATGATTCCTGTAAATTTTTCTGGGGATAAAGCAAAATTATTAATTCAATAGCTGGAAATATGGGGGAGATGACAGCTTTACATGAAATTGCACATCAGGTGTTCAGTAAATCTGAAGAATATACGTGAGAGCCAAGTGCACTGCAAGTAGTGTAAATACACATATTATAGGTATAACGAAATATTAGTGCTTTCTTTATCAGAAATGGAAAGCTGGTAATGTAGAAATAGAGGGGGCCATATGAACATACAAAATATAAGAGAGGAATGTTGCAAAATAGTCCATATCTAAATTGTAAAAAGAGAGACTTGCCCATATCTTTGAGCAAATATTTTTAGCATTATTTTCAGTTCTTTTATGGCTTCTGGTTCTTGCAATGGAGCTCCCAGCAGACAATTTTTTTGTGATTCAGAAAGAATAACACGGGTCTGACAAAACAATGTAGGATGCATATACTGCCACAACGATTGTGCTGTTCTGGAGCATAATGTTTGATCAAAACCCCACAATTGTGTTTGCTTTCTTTTTTCTGAACGGAAAGAGATTCCTAAGCTCCGGACTATTTCCATGAAAATCTTTAAGATCTTAAACAGTAACATGGTTCATGGATCTCTTCTATTGCTTAGCAATGGATGTACTGCAGTTGTCTGCTTAATTAACAATCACATCTAATGAACAGAAATAATTTTTTTTTCGCTTCCCCTTTTACTATAGGTAAGATTCAGAGGCCTTTGAAGATCTAGGCTGGCACCTTTGCTGCCCTTTCAAGTGCTCTTCCATTCTGATAATGATAAGGTTGTTGAGGGCTGTGCAGTCTTCTCAATGGGCTCCGTGCCAGTGTCTCTGCTCTGGTCTTTAGTTCCCAGTGTTTTATTTGCTTTGCTAGCCATTGCCAGTAACTGAGCAGGGCAGGTCAATTCCCCCTCACAGATCCTTTCTATAATCTCTCCTTGGCAGCCGTGTGGGACCACTTTTCATTTCCTGCATTTCCTGCAGCCCGGGCAAATTTTTAATGTTTTTCTGCATTTAATTCCAAAACCACTGTTAGCCTCTGCCTTATCTCTTCTTCCTCCTCCTCCCCCAGTTTTTCTGGCTTTTTGGATAGAGTATTGCTTCCCTCAGATACTGGTCCACAGGTCTCTGTGAAAATATTCCTGGTGTTGGGTCTCTTTCAAATCACAAGTGGCCATTTTAAATTTCATCACTGACAGCCGGCGAGGTTTCTTACCTGAAATTCAGGAGCAATAGACTTTGCTATTAATTATTACTAGGCAGATTCAGAAACTCCTAAGAAGGATTCTCTGGCCTATTTTGTGTTGAAATATGTGAGCATGAGTGGTCTCTTTAAATATTCCTGGTGTTGGGTCTCTTTCAAATCACAAGTGGCCATTTTAAATTTCATCACTGACAGCCGGCGAGGTTTCTTACCTGAAATTCAGGAGCAATAGACTTTGCTATTAATTATTACTAGGCAGATTCAGAAACTCCTAAGAAGGATTCTCTGGCCTATTTTGTGTTGAAATATGTGAGCATGAGTGGTCTCTTTGGGGCCATTCATCCTTGTAGCAGTCCATCACTGTTCTCTTACCACTTGGTTATAATTATTTCTCCTAAGAAGGATTCTCTGGCCTATTTTGTGTTGAAATATGTGAGCATGAGTGGTCTCTTTTGGGCCATTCATCCTTGTAGCAGTCCATCACTGTTCTCTTACCACTTGGTTTATAATTATTTGCTGCCTCTATCTGACTTCTTTCATCCCACCTGAACATATTACCATGTATACACAATACTCTTGCATTATTCTTTTGTGTGGAACTTTACCAAATATTTTGGAAGCTTTATATGTCCTTCACCTGACAGTATCACTTGCAGTGTTTAAATTATTTGATAACTGTAGAAAAATGAAATAGAAGATAAGCAAGAAAAATCACTGTAGAAGTGAGAGCTATTATACTATTCTATTGAGGTTTATTTTATTAAAGAAAAAGCATTTGAAGTCTGACATTTTTAACCTTTGAGCCTTTTCACAATACGTATTTAATTGTGGCACCAAAAGCTTTTTACATGCATTACGAAAAATTATACATCCAGCAAAAAAAAAGTAATCCCCTATTTTCTTTTCTATTATGTGTGCACGTAAAGTATTTTTGCCCAAGAGTGCCTCTGTTGTGATCCATGTTATCCAGTCATTTTTCAGTGTGGACACCATCAGCCCTTTCTGAGAAAGATTCAAGGAACACCAGGTTACTGGGAAGGTCTCATCCTCATGGTCAGAGTTTAATTTTAAACTTGAACCATGAGATTTGGGGTTGTTGCTGGTGGGTTCATTTCCAGCATTAACTGTTACAGTTTTGGAGATAGCTCCCTCCTTCTTAGAGGGTTGCTGTGACCCCAAGTTCAGCCTTACATGGTAGTGAGTTCTGTACAGTTTCGACTTCGTCAGTTGTCAGCATTATTCTGTGTTCCCCTTTGTGGTGAAGCAAGCTGAATGATCACTCCTTAAAACTTCTTGTGGACTGCGGTACACACAAAACCTAAATAAAACATATTTTGATGCTAGATATGCTGTCCCTTCTGCCCCCTTGAAATTCTCTTGGGCACCACTTCATGAATACATCCCCACCTTGGAGCTGCACCTTCTCCTTCTGAACTGTGGGAATGGCTGCAGTAGTTCATCAAATACGGCATTTTTGTTTCCATCTGGTGTTTCCATTAAAAGATGTTGGTAGGGGATGTACATTTTCCCCCACCCTTGTATAGAGCTCTTGTTATAGGTCAGTTATTTTTAATTTCCAGGAAGAGCACATGGAGGGAGACTTGTTAGTCATCTTCCTCTTTGCTCCAGGTAAGGAAGGTCTCTTCTTGCCTTCTAACTCAACTGTATTAGATGTAATCACGTCGGAGTGGAGGGGCAAACACAAAGTCTCCACCTGTCTCCTCACCTATTCCTGACATCTTCTGACATTGTCAGAAGGTAACTTAGGACCTTGTGACATTAGCTCATAAGACATAACTGTTACCCATTACTCTAAAAATCCAAAACCCACAAGTAGCCCACGCAGGGGAAAATACAACTTTCTCTGTGCAAGCAGCTGTTCATATGAGCCTCTATAGCTTTGAAGAATATGTTTTTGCTTCATAGGACACTACAAGACTGGAAGATGAATCCCTAAGGGAAGAGTTCCCACTCTGCAAGTTAGATTCACTGAATATAAAATAACTCTCAAAATAGATTTAAAGTCTGTACCTTAGCTGCATGATTTGTTTACTGTGCTCATTTGTTCCATTCTTTAGGTTTGAAGACGGCACAGTCTCTTTTCTTGATATCATTGCTCTGAAACATGGATTTGATGTTCTGGAAAAACTCACAGGTCAGTTAACATAACTCTAATACTGAAGAGTGAAGTTCCAGGTTTATACTCAGGGCACAAGTCTGATCATATTTCCTATGGCTGTAGCCTGATTTTTCTTTCTAGATTTGTTATCCATGTTCATCAATGTGAAGATCAGACTTCAGTGTAACTGGTTTATCCAATTCTTGCATATTGGATTATTGCAGCCTGGTTTGGAAAAAACAAAACACGCAGACTGTTCTCCACAAATACACACGCAAGGCTTGAGTACATCGAGCACATTTGCCTCACACTCACAAAAATGCAACAGGAAAATAATAGTAGAAAGTAGCTGAGCTAAATCCTATTGAGACTTGATGCAGTAAGAGTTCCTGCTGTGCGTGAGGACCAGGCAGCTTGACCTGGTGCAGAAAACCCATTTGGTAATACAGATTAAGAGAGGAACCAAAAAAGAGAGTTTAGAGTATACCCCAAAGCTTTTTTTTAAATAGGAAATATAGTCCCACTGTGCAGGTATCTATCTTCAAACAGCGAACTTTCCAGACTATGACTTTTCACAGCAGTTTACTTATGTCTGTACTTTGACACACTTTAGTGGAAAGCAGCAATATGTTGATGGGGTTTTTCTTCTCATTTTGTTCTCTATTTGAATGTAACGTAGTACTGTAAGTCTCATGGAAATTCCCAGAAAAGCACATGGTTGTGAAATTGTAGTGGAGTTCCTGCCTCTCAAGGAAATGAAAGGAGAAAAGACAACAGTCACAGGCTGCAACAAGGGAAATTCTGACTGGGCATAAAGAAACATTTTTTCAGAATGAGGGTGGTCAAACACTGGAGCAAGTGCCCAGAGAGACTGTCAAATCTCCATCCTTGGAAATGTTGAGAATTTGACTGGGCTCGGCCCTGAACAATCTGATCTAGCTTTAAAGTTACTGCTGCTTTGAGCTGGAGGTTGAACTGAATGACCTCAGGAGGTCAAACCTAAATTAGTCTATGATTCTCTAACTACCAAAGGCTAATGCCTCCCTCCAGGCAGAGTATATTATAATACAGGCTGGGGCATATTGAGCTGTGAAGAGTGGAAGACAGACCTTTCCAGTTACTGCTTAGGGCATCTTCGTGTAGTAGACTGACTCTGTGACTATGTGCAGATCTAACTACATTTGAGATTTATAAACAAGCTCACAGCCTGCCATCTTGATCTTGCCTGTGGTTTACGGAATTGAAATTCTCCGGTCACACTAACTCTGAGAAGCTAGCACAAACCTGGCAAAGGTCTCTTCACAGTGGACTTCCCTGGAAAGATCATTTCCATGGCACATTTACTACCATGACTTCATGTCCCCAGGCAAAGGGCGGGTAGCCTGGGATAAGAGGCCAGTGCAGGCTTTCTAGCCTGCTAGGGAGTCTCATGACTTTGAAGCTCTTTTCAGTGGCTCCCACTGTTTGAATATCTTTGAAGCCCTTAACATGGAGCTAACACTAACATCCCAAATAAAACTTTGAGCTCATCTTCAAGCCAGAAGCTCTATGTGAAGGGTGACATTCATGTCATTTACAGCTGTCCAGGTCTCTGGCTGCAGGGAGTGCCTGAGCCTGTCAGCTCTACCGGAGGGCAGCAGAGACACCACCTGTGTGCGGTGTGACCAGGTGGATGATCTGCTCAGCCTGGTGGCAGAGCTGAAGGAGAAGGTGGAAAGGTTGAGGAGTATCCGGGA